AAAAAAAGTAACTTGCGTTACTTATTTGAAAAAGTAACTCAGATATTCTCTTGTAAATTAAAAAGTAATGCGCTACTTGAAAAAAGTAATCTGATTACGTAACTCGCGTTACTTGTAATGCGTTACCCCCAACACTGGTTATAATAACATAGAACCACCACTGGTGAGGTAATTTGCACTATTTGGTATGTCAAATATTGTTATTTTTTAAACCAGTTACTTGGCCCCAATCCTATTTCTACCCCTTAGCCCTTCCCCTTTCCCATACCCCTCCATTTCGTGTGTTCACGTGAAGGGGTAGGGGTGTCTCGATTCTCTTTTTGTTGGAGGGGTAAGGGGAAGGGCCAGATAGCCCTTCAAACAAAGATTTTTCGGGACCACACTTCAAACGAAGGGGTATGAATTATCTTAGCGTAAACTGGCTACAGCGGCAACATGGCTGCCCGAGCGAATAAAACGACACATAAATGTAAGCATTATTGCCATTAATAAGGATTTTAATGAAAAGTAATCATTTGTTTTATGTTACATTCAATCGTGAGTTCATATTTACAGTCATGTTATTTAAAGAAATGTTTGCAAAAAATCGCTAAAGTTTGCTAAACGTCATATCATTACTGACTGCACGATAGTGCCACAACATATTTTCATGTCTGATCAGGGCGATAACCACCATAGACATTGAGGGACTATATATGTTCATATATATGTTCATATAGGACATAGACATATAGTTCCCCCAATAATTAGAAATCGCTTAACCTTTTTCTCAAATAGTGCCAATTCGAGAGAGAGAGAGAGAGGGGAAAGTTGCGTGTACGCATGTCTGTGCATCTCTCTTTACAATGAGTGAGTTTACTTCAAAAACAGCAATTTTATCCTCTCGTTGCTGGAAAATATAATGTAGTGATTCAATATTTAAACTGTTATTAATAAAAGTCGTGGGGCAGCATTGACAAGTTTCTTTGCTCCTGGATGTGAGAGTGTGTGTGTGTGTGTGTGTGTGTGTGTCAGTAAGCAGCTTCATTAATATAGAACGGTAAGGCACTAATGCACACCAGTATAGGTGCGTTTATTGTAGGAGCTAGATGACGTATGATTACGTGTAACGGTATAGTAGTGGTGTCCCAATTCTTAGGGGAGTATTTTCACCCCTACCCCTTGACACTCTGTTTCAAGGGACAAGGGGAAAGGGTAGGCGAAGGGGTTGGGGTAGGGGTATAAAATATAATTGGGATTGGGCCTTGGTCTTTGGATTTATTTTTTCATAATATACACAGCTATTTGTTATTATTTTTGAATGGTTTGCATTCACACATTCACATTTTGTAGTTATGTCATCAATAGGGGCTTAGGTAACCCACCAAAATCCTGACCTATGCATTGTGATAAACAAAAAAAACAACAAAAAAAACAAATAAGAAGACTAACTCTGGGAAAGAGCAAAGCCCATTTTTGTAGTCTGGGAGCATCAGCTACTCCAAAAACCAGATAGAAATCATGATGCACAACTAAAAATATTTGAAAGGAGAAGATAAGTGGACTGAAAGCAAGATGAGCGAGACAGACAGATGGACAGAGAGTACGAGCAACTGAATGATGGATCCTGCTGTGTTTTGGAATTGGAGACACTGATAAGGAACATGGCCAGGATACTTTAACACAAACACATATAAATAGCTCAGAGTTCATTAGATCTCACAACAACACACAAACATCAACACACATTCAAACATACCCATCAGAGCTAATGAATTACAGCTTCTGTCGCTCTGTGTTCTCTTTCATCTCTCTATCTGATGTACGAGCACTCATACGCACATGCTTGCAGGGCAGTGGAAGTGCTTTGCGGCATGGCTGTGGTCATTAGCATGGCTGCTGGGTCTATCACATGCCAAACAGTCTCAATCTTCTAGCCTGAATATTATTGAGTGTGCGAGTTGAACATGGCCATTCCCTCTGGCAAGAAACACAGAGAGCTAATGACTTCACATTCACACACACAATAGCACCCCTACTGTCCAACATTACACTAACAGCTAATAAACACACACACACACATTCTGTTGGTCCATCAGCATGAATATGCATTTCTCCACTCTGATCTCATCTTAAAACAATGTCTCTTCCTCAAGGCTCTCTAAAGCCCGCATAGAAGTTCTCTGCATGTCACATAGACTCTCTTCCTCTAGGTTCATCTTTCCACTCTTTCCTCTCCATTCCTCTTTCTTTCTTTCTTTTTTTCTTTTTTTCAGAATATGCAATTTTCAAAATGTTTAATTGTGAAAGACGTTATATGCTACATTAAATAAAATGTATTTATTTATTAATTTATTCATTCATTCATTTTTATATATTTTAGGGGAGCAATATAATATCCAATGTTCAAATATATAATATTTTTTATAAGATAAAGTATTAATAAAATAGTCATAAAATTAGTGATTAAAGTAGTGAGAAAAAACAATGTGTGTTTAATTAATACAATTATTTTTGGTAGTAGCTCACACATTTTTATTGTTAATCCTTTTTATTTACAGTATTTTAATATTGTAAATATATTATTGCATTATTTATATTAACATGGAGTATGCGTTGTGTGGGTATGGCAGTATAAAATGCAACAGTAACATTGTATATTGACTAATGTACAAAGAAATTTTGAATAAATATGGACTCAATGGCTCATATGGACATGCACACACAAACACACACATATATTCACACAAATGACCAATCAATATGAACTGAGCTGTTCAGACGCACCCAGAAGTTGGCCTGACAACCCAACGATTGCTACAGAGCAGGAGCAAAATGTGTCTAGTATTCACAGAAACAGCAGCTTACAGAATCATAAAAAATCAACAGCCCCAACAATACGGGAAGAAATTGAAGCTTCATCTCTGCACCTTAAAAGCCTCTCTCTTTCCCCGTTGCTCTGCATGACTCTGTCTCACATACTGTTTCGTACTGTACGCTAACATTTGTGTGTAATCCTCTCTCCCTGGCTCTTTGTTCCTCTGCCTCTTTCCCCCATGTGCTCTCAAGTAGAGACGTCAGCTCTCCAAGTCACAAACAATAAAAGCTGTAAACTTCTGGCTCACAGACCTTTAGTCTTGACAAAATGTTCATGTGTCTTCACAGGTGGGATTCTAGTTGGCTTGTAGCACTAATATCACAAACAAGAGATGAGTGAACGAGAGGCTAAGAAATGGCAAAAAACAGCTCAGAGACTTGCAGTACAAAGTGGCTGACACAACACTCAGCAATGACAAAAGACAGTCAGAGATGTATTATGTAAATGCTGAAAAAAGGACTACTGAAGCCCTGATTTCAGCTTGACCTCTGTAAACAGGAAGCTTCATTTATATTGGAGTATTGCTACTGTTGTGAGGGGTTTTGTAACTGTTAATGTGCTTCCTGTCAATGTAAATACTGGGTACTGTGACAATACGCATATGAATATTTACTGCTCAAACAGTTCTTTTGTTTTCTCACCTTCATGTCATTCCAATGTAACCCAGAATTCCTAAAAAAAAAAAAAATTTTGAAAGGTGAGTAAATTATCACAAATTAAATTTTAGGGTGACCTGTCCCTTTAAGAGACACATGATACTGAAGTTTTGTAAATGTGATTCTACACATACTTCCTCACACACTCTTGCAGATGATGGAGATCTCTTTTGTGCTGTAGGTTAGATCTGGCTTTCAAGTGTTTGCTGACAGAACATCTCCAGTGGACAAGCCACATTGCTCTTATCTCTGTCAACACCCACCCACATGATTAACTATTTAACAGCACAGGCAAAAGCTAAAAGAGAAAATTTTGGAGGAAGCGTACGGGAAATAAATAAAAATTCCTGTCAGCCTCACCTGGGAAACCAGGGCAGAGAGAAGATGGAGGAATTATTTCAGCTTACTGAAATGTGTATAGCAGAACAGTTGTCAACTTACAGCTCTCTAAAGGCAGCTGAACAACTACATTTCTGTTTCAACTTCAGTCCAAAGTAAGACTATAACACAGTTGATTAAATCACTCTATTCACAAATCAATCTCAACACAGTATGGCAAAATATCTTCGATAAAAAAAAATTAAATAAAAAAAACTGAAATCCGTGACAATCCCATGCCGTGGAGCCAAATTGGCAGAGATGAGGCCAGTGAGACCAGCTGTATGCTTGCGAGTATGATATTGCCTTTACACAACAGTTCAATAAACAAGAAGTTAATATTAATGTACTTACATTTTAGACACAATATCTGCAGTGACGATATTGAATCTAATTGAAGTGGAATCACTGTTGTACAACTCCTAAAAATACACGGCAGTGGTGTTTTATTCCTGAATGGATCAGTGTTTGAATGAATCACTTATCTGAATGGTTCAATAAATCACTCATAGAGACATTGGCTGCATCCAGAATTGCATATTCTTTGAGTAGGTACATCTTTTGAATTAGTACTTTATGACAATTAAGCATGCATGTTTGCCGTATGAATATAACCAGGACATACTATATCTGTCATGTTGTTATTGTCATGTGACCTACCAGCATCAGCTGCAATGCTTTACTGCCATTCACAAATCCTCTTCCATGGCCTGACTGCATAGTAGAGTCCTTGAGATGTGCACTTCAGTTTGCATTTTCAGATGCAACCATTCACTTGTTTCATTGTCAATAACTTCTTTTCTACCTGAATGGTTCAATGTTTTTGAACGAATCACTTGAGTCAATGATTCAATGACTCTTTTATAAAGACATTCCTTTGTTTCATTCATAAATGAATGAACGTTTTTTTAAAGTACCCCTATTATGGGTAATGAAAGGTTTGTATTTTGGTTTTGGGAGTCCCCAGCAACAGGTTGACCTGCATGCAAGGTCAAAAAACACTTTCATTGTCTTATAATATGCATTTATTTTTACCTTTTACTCAACGACTCCCAAACAATTCGCTCAACAATGAATTTTTCCAAACCCCTCCTTTGCATGATGCTAATCTGCGGTGATTGGTCTGATTGGTCTCATTTTCATTTCATCTTGCCTGTAATGCCTGATAAAGCAGCGTTTGAGAGCACAGTGCTGCTTTGTGTACAGCCATTACCGGGGAAACAGCTATTTTACCGCTGCAAAACCTAGTGGCAAAGAATGAATTTGCATTTTCATTCAGACCAACGCTAAAAGACCAACAAGTGGGTGGCAATATGCTAATGTTTCATGTTGACGTCAACATGAAGCGGCTTGGGATTTGTTTTAAAAACGACTCGTTTCAATGATTCAGAGTCGACTCTTTCTTTTGAGAGACAATAACTTTATACATGGTGCACTTTCAGATTTAAAACTTTACAGGATGTTTTCATTCACTTAGAGCTGTGTTACACAATGCATGAAAGGTAATTTTCAAAAATTCATAATAGGGGCACTTTAAAGTAAGGTAATTTTCAAAAATCCATAATAGGGGCACTTTAACAAATCGCTTGAGTGAATGATTCAACACTTGTCACTTGTCACCACCATTGGGCATAACTTGCTGTAAAAGACAATGAAAACTCCCCACTACTACAGAACTAAAGAAAGAGAAATCCCTAAAAATAAGTATTTTCCCAAATTCCTGCTATCTTATCTCTTTGTTTCTGCTTCTTTCTTTTCTATTCTTCTCTATTCTTTGTGTTTTGATAATATAAAATCTAATCTTGCCTGTAAAAGCTGAATCTGCTATTATGGGTGCGGTAGGGGTTATTATTGTGACAGGGACTGTGTATTGGGCACTGCAGTGAAGATATATGATTCGTGTCATTGGGGCAGATTCTAAAACCTCTGTCATTCTGTCACTCACAGAAGACTGTGGGCTCAAGCACTGGCCGTACAAGAGCCATACATGATTTCAGGGTCAGAGTTACTTCTATCCGAGATGTTAGTGCAGTGGCCTGCTGAATCCGTCACAGCGGAGGAATGGATCTGGTGGGATATTGGGATTATGATGAATGGGCCTGAATTTAAAGATAGATGCATCCCGGCTTTCATTTTGAAGTGTGGCACTGTGTTTTACAGAAACGCTGTCATTGCTTGTGGAGGGAGAATATGAGCATTGTCATTTCTCCACTGGCTCAGCAACTGGCTTATATGCCGCTAATGTGGTGATTCACAGACAGGATAATACTCACAAAGATGAGAGTGGTTTTGTTCATGGAATAATATAAAGAAACCGAAATTGAATGAAGATTAATGTGCATGTTCTGTATTGTCTATGTGCATATTCAGTAATAAAGTGGTTTTCATATGAGGATATTAATTGAGGCGTTTTCATGGCAGCACTTTATGTTTCATAGAGATTTTATTTTTCTTCTTCCAGAAATCTCTGCAATTATTTCAGCCCAAACCACTTAATATAGTAATTGTATTTGAGCTTTTTTGTTTGTTTGTTTGTTTGTTTGTTTGCTTGCTTGTAGCCAAGTTGTTCACCTTATAAAGTATAGTCAACTGCAATGACATCATCAAATATGTTTTTAAATTAGCTTTCCACTTTTCATGGACGGGACAGTAGGAAGGAGACAGGAAACACTGGGAGAGGAGAGAGGGGAACAAAACCTGGAGCCAATACTCCAAAATGGGGTTGCCTGAGGCGCAGCTGTGCCACATGTCAAAGGGCTACCCACAAGGCTATGGTTCTGACAACATCATTGTAATATTTCTGATTAAAAAAAGAACAGTTGGTTTTTTTCGACATCTATTTGCATACAGAATGAGACTGAAAACAAGATGATGCATTTCATTTGCGCCATACAAAAAGTTACAACTTAATCTTACCTAAAACTTCACAACTATTCTTTTAATCATTTGGAATGATTACACAGAGGTTTCAAATTAAGATTTTTTTGTTGTTGTAGTGGCATCAGTTCAGCTTCAAGGCCTTCAGAAATTAAGAAACTTTTGATAGAGTTGTTCTTTTGTGTTTTCTGTTTTATTGTGTTTTCTGTGCTGATATTGACTGTAATCAGCAGCCTGTGGAAGCATATTGACAAAGGGCAGGTGTGTGAGTGCGCGCGCACACACTTGGGTGTGTGTTTAATTTTAGTTTTTAAAGAGAAGGGGAAAATGTGACAGCTGTTTCCTAGGCGACCACCTCACACACTTACATGAACATTTTCACCTGGGCGTGTAACAAAAGCACAAATAGCTGAACCTCTGAGATGAATCCTGAAGGGCTACTGATTTCTGTTCAATGGTGAAGGGTCTGTCATAGATGAAAACATGTTTTGGGACAAAAAATCAGGTCATGTAAGGTCATCCCTGACTTTCAGCAACTGTCCTGTTCCTCCTTCTTAAATCTTTTTCCCACTCTCCCTTTGTTTTGCAATCATTTTTTGATCAAAGCTCAATCACAATCTCTTCCTCCATCTCCCAGCTGGCGACGTGGGACTCTGATCGTGGGCTGAACGGCAGTCTGAGGGAGAACAGGGCTGAGCATGGCATGCAAGGAATTACTCTGAAAGTGGTGACCTTGCTGGTGAGTATTTCAATAAATCTGATTCAGCTCCCCGTAGGTATACAATCAGTGTCTTACTGATGTCAGGTTACTCTTACAGTCACTGTAGAATAAAAAGCATGACATGATTTTCATACAGTAAGTAGGACATGTTAATGGAATAAAATTGCTATCAAGCAATCATTTCTCTTCCCCCTACAACACAATTCTTGATGAAAAATGTTGTTTAAGCCACTAACCCCATTCCTAAGCCTAACTGTGACCTTAATGCTAATATCCTTTCAAAAAAAGGTTATTCCAGGAATGTTTAGATGTACAGATGCAAGTAATGTTTGGGCAGTAAGAATTGTATTCCAGAAATAACAGAATGTTACTTTATATTGCATCTCCTGTTCCTGCAGTACATCTTACAGCATACTAATTGTGGCTAGGGCTGGGTACCAATATTGATTTTCCAGTTAATTCTAATCTTCATTTGAATGATATAATATATGAAAACATGTAATATACGAGTCGAGTTGAGAGCTTGCTGCTGCAATATATCATCGATCACTAGTTGTCATAAACGGTTTCTTTTTCCACATGGTTGCGCTATGTGATTTTTGTCTTGTCTCTCATCAGATATCAGTATTTTAGTCATGCAGACTCTTGATGGTTTTCGCCAGAGATTCCTTTGGGCTTTGATCTTTATTTATTCTCCAGTCTATCTTGGTTGTGGTCTCTCTAAATACAATTACAGTGCACTAGCTTGAGTCTTAGATATTTCATCTGTCTGTATTTGAGTGCGGAGGGCCTGCTTCACAAACAGTCAATCTTGTTTGGTGGCGATATGCCTTACTGCAAATTGCCCAGATGAATTTAAAAAGGTAATTTCTGTCTGATGAGACATTGCACGCTTACCTGGCCATGGTGTAACAGGTCAGCTGAAACACTTCATTTAGATTAACCTGAGACCAAAGGGTCTCAGCTTTCACTGGTAAAAGTGTCACGTCAGCCAATGCTTTGAATGTGACAGAAAACCAATCTGACCTCAATCACGACCTGAACAGACAGATTCACCACAGAAATAAGGTTTGAAATCAATATTAAATCTTTTATTTGCAGAAATATGTCCAAACTTATTAGTCAGGCTCTGCTTTCATCTTTGCTTTCCTTTCAAATGAGGAAATGATAAGATTCAATCTAGGGATGCACCATTATCACTTTTTCCAAGACTCGTCCGATACCGATACTTTTATTTTTGCCAGTACTTGCTGATACAGAGTACCGATACCAATATTTTTATTGCATTTGTAACTTTTTAAAATATTGGGTACAGAAATCAAAAGAGTATGTATAATGTTAGTTGGTTAACTTCATTTATCAAATAGATACAGTCAAACCAAAATGTATTCAGACACCTTCAACATTTCTCACATTATCACAGTTTATTTGCTATAGTTTTGAAAATGGTAATAAAATATGACAAGAACTCAGAGTTCAACTGTGTCAGAACAAATTCAGCTTGATAATGTCAGATAACTTTGGTAGAAAGGTATGTAATGGATTACAATCAACCAAAAATTATTCAGACAGCTGTTAGTATGACAGTATTTACACAACTATCAATACTTAGTCGGACAGCCTGTAGTCTCCTGGGCATGCTGTCATCCAGGTTCAAGCAAACCTGAACTTCAATTTTTTTTCCCAGACTCGGTCTGAATCATTTTTGGTCCCAAATTTGTATCAGTTTTACTGGTAGTCCACTGTATGAAGAATTTGTGGGCACGCGCAACGCGTGCACGTATTTGTACTAATGCAGAATAGTACAGCCTAGTGCATTTCACACAGGGTGCTAGATTCACTTTCGCCAGAAAGTCATGTATGCCTAATAAAATAGTGAATGCCCATATAAATGGTCTTATTTTTACGATTTAGTTTCAGTCCAAATGATGCGTGTGCTAAGTGAGTGAACATCAAAGATCACACAACAGAATTGCACGCGCTCTCTCTCTCTCTCTCTCGCTTTCTCTCTCTCCCTACCGTTAAGTAACTTGTGCATTGTTTTACTTACTTGTTTTTGACATATCCACCCGAACTACAAACTTTCCAGTGATGTCTGTGAGAAAGGCATATTCACTCGACAAGCTCGCGCATCTGCGCCGCACGTATCTGACCGAATTACAAACTTTCCAGTGATGTCTGTGAGAAAGGTATATTCACTCGACAAGCTCACGCATCTGCGCCGCTGCGCGCTCAATCCACTCAGCGTGCTTTGCTTATCAGCTCGCGCACATCAGCTATACAGGCCTTAATAATCTCTAATAACTCCATTCTGCTATTTGTTGTTCTGTTGTCGGTGTTTCATTGTCTGAATATGGCATTTAAAACATGCTGTGTGGTATCGGCGTTTGGTATCGGGCATTTTAACGAGTACGAGTACAGGTATCGGTATCGGTGCATCCCTAATTCAATCTAAATCTGTCTGGCACTAACGCCAAATAATAGCTATGTCAGCTAAGCTTTAAGCCTGTCCGTTACTGTCAAGATGCTGCGGGAGATACATATGAATTCTGGGAAATATTAGATTCTAATATCATTGTTTGAAAACATCTGCGAATGAATCCTAAAAGTTTGGGCTTTAAGCAAAAGTGACACTAAAGACATACATTATGTTATACAATATATAATGTTACAAAAGATTTCTATTTCAAATAAAAGTTCAGATAAATTCACTTTCTGTGCACCAGCTGTTTTCAACACTGATAATAATAACAATGTTTCTTGAGCACTAAATCAGCATATTTAAATGATTTCTAAAGGATCATGTGACACTGAAGATTGCCGTAATGGCTGCTGAAAATTCATCTTGGCAATCACAGAAATAAATTACATTTTAAATTGTATTAAAATCGAAAACACTTATTTTAAATGATAATAATATTTAAATTTTAGATTTTTAACTCTATTTTTGATATTATATTTTTAACTTTATTTTTGATTGAAAATCTTAATGACCCCAAACTTTTGAATGGTAGTGTATGTGTAGGCAGAACAAGCATATTCATCCTTTCATCGCTGCTTAATTTAGTTCCAAATCAGGTTACCAAAGTATAATTAAATAAATAAACAAGTGAATCAAATGAACCCCTACATTTCTCTGTTGTCTTCAGGAGGAGCCGTTTGTGATGGTGGCAGAAAACATTCTAGGTCAGCCCAAAAGATATAAGGGATTTTCCATAGATGTTCTAGACGCCCTGGCCAAAATTCTGGGTTTTAAGTATGAAATATATCAAGTGGCTGATGGGAAATACGGATCTCCTCAGGCCAATGGGTCTTGGACTGGAATGATTGGAGAACTAATTGGGAAGGTGAGATTCACATTCATAAAGACTTTTCCATAGTGTTTCTTATGTGAAACTGCATACTGATATTAGTCAATTAATTGTTAACTGCTTTAGGCACATATGGTTATGAAGGCATTGCACTTATTCAGATGTACTCTCTTGTAACTTATACAACCAGATTTCACTTGTGTTTTTGTTATCTCAGACTGCATGTTGATTTATTACTATTTAGAGGGCAGATGTGGCTATTTCAGCCATCACCATCACTCCTGAGCGAGAGAATGTGGTGGACTTCAGTAAACGCTATCTGGATTATTCTGTGGGAATCCTGATGACTAAAACCGAAGAGAGACTCAACATCTTCTCCTTGTTGGCACCGTTTGACCTGGCAGTGTGGGCCTGCATTGCTGCTGCCATTCCTGTGGTGGGTGTCATGGTCTTTCTGCTCCGACGT